GGGAACCATTCATCCTTTCCACATAAATAAACTCTGCCTAATGCATTAGAGCTCTGCAAAGTCAGAGTTAACCTGACAATATATTCCTCCATTTCGAAAGATGAAAACAGGGGAAGAGAGAGATGTATGAACTGCTCTTTAATGGTTCACTGCACTTGTACTTGAGATTTTAAACCCAGACTAACAGAACCATTAGAAAAAGAGGGGGAAAAAAAGGAAAAAAAAAAAAAAAGAAAAAAGATAATGTTTAAGGTGCCCTAGGAGGATGCAGCTGTTAGATGGTGCACTGCTTTTACCAGGGCCTTGCATGAGACAGTGACAGCGCTACACTTGAGTGGGTCCAACGCTGCCAGCCCAGGTCCTACTGCTCTCATTAGCTTGGCCTTTGCACCAAGACCTACCACCCTCCCCCTGTCCCCACTGTAAGACAGGCTCAGGCCTGTTTTATGGAATGGTTTCTGCTGGATTAGAGAAATTTAAGCATCCTCATCCCTTCACATTCAACCATTTACAGGCAGTGATGCTGCTGCTGGACATCATCTGACGTTGCATCTCCCTGGCCTGTCACAGCAGGTATCAGTGGCACCTTTTAAAAGCAGTGGCTCTTTAGAAAACCAAAGCTTCCCTGCCACGAATAGTTTTCAGCTAAGTGCTTACTATTATGCTCATTTTCTATTTCACCAGTGTGGTACAGCCTCTCCAGCTCACATTTCCAACTCAGGTAAATGGATATTGCCTCAGTGGCTGCACTTTTGCCCGGAAATCTCAATGTCAGTGGTATTGTGTGGGTTTTAGACAGTTCAGGAGCCCCTTGGGTTGTGAGGACACAAATGCAGATCATGTTTTGCAGCCCATACTCTCTGAGGAAGCGATAGAGCTGATGTTAGGGAGTGCAGGTCTTTCTGGGATTCCCCATTCTTCCACAAGCTGCCAACTGTGCCGTCATTTGGGTTGTTGTGATAATCAGGAGCTTGTGTCAAGCAGAAAGTGACAGTCTAATTTCAGGAAAAAAAAAAAGAAGTATTATTATGCTTTGTGAAAATAGAGCCTTAGTCAGACAAGCTTGGAATTTCAGTGGAAAATATAAGATGCATTCAGGTTTTTTTCCCCATTTCTTGTAGTTTCAGCAGTTCATCTCTCCTTTTAATATTCCTGTGCAGCATGTTAGTAATGTGAGTGGCAAATCTCATGCTGCAGATGTTACAGCATCCAGTAAGGGTCTTTTTATGCTCCTGACCAGCACTGAACAACATGTCCCATCTAGTAGGTATATATGTGTTTGTATATACCTGCATACCCCATCTGAACCGTGGGCATGGAAAGCTTTCACAGATCCAGACCCTGACTTCAGTATGATTTCACGCTGTATTCAACGTAAACCTCTTTTTGCCCATGTTTAAGCCATCCATTTCCCCGAACCAGGCAGCAGCTCTGTCCCTTTCTGGCCGGAGGCAATGTGGCACAGCGCGGCTCTCGCCCTTTGCTGGTCGCTGTGTCCTCCTTAATTTGTAGGTCTTGGCAACATAATCACTTTGCAGCAAGACCAGCAGCGCAGAGGACTGACAGCTATTTTATTGATAGCAGCCATACCAATAATTAGACTTAACCCTTGTATAGCTTTTTACATGGTATTCATTAACTGTATTACTGATGCCACTTATCAGGTATAATAGCAGATGCAGTCAAACATTCCCTGTGACTCTCCCTTCTACTAAAGCTGGATTCTGGCTTTCATAAGCGAAGTTTCATTAGGAGAAGTGGTGGAGGGAGGGGGAGGTAAGGGCTGTTTCTAGATGGACGGCTGTCACCAGTGGAGAGCAGCAGCCACCAGCCTGATGCCACTACACACCTCAGAGAGGTGGCAACGTCCAGCTCCTGCCACCATCACACTGCAGCCCCCCAGCCTCAAGCCCTGTCCACTCAAGGGTTTACCATGACATCCCTCAGACTTGTTTAACCCCTGTTAGATGTTAAAGCTGGCTTCTCCTGGCTCCTGTTTGGACAAGGACACCTCTAGGGCCAGGGTGTGGGAATGTGCGCTGTCACAGCTCAGCAGCTTTTTGGGGGGTCCTTGTGTCTGCTGGGGCTTCTCATGCAGACCGTGTGAGAGGGCTCAGGGCAGGAGAGAGGGATGCGTGAGTGTGCCTGTGAGTGTGTGCACCCACACACATGTGTGAGGGCCCATGTGTGGAGGGTACCCTGAAATCCAAGCCAAAAAGCCCTACCCTGAACATCTGCTGGTGTCTCAACACCCTGTGACAGCAAGTGCCTCTCACAGCAAGCACCCTGACATGTAAGCAATGGCTCTGGCAGAGCCATGAAATATGCATTGTTTGTGTGTTTTTAGAGCCATACTTTTTCTCTAATTATCTTCCTTTCACGTGACAGCCTGCATGCCATCGGAGAGGCTGCTCCATCACCACTTAACTTCTTGCTTTACTTCGGTTTCCCTTGTACGCCTTCCCGACAGCATCTGGGCACTGCTGCAGAAGGGTACCCCGGTTTGCCCAGCTTTGCACCATAGTGCAATGGTCCCCAGTGTCTTGTTCATGCAAGGGCTCAGAAGAGAAGCCCCTGTTGCTGTAGGTAGGATAAAAGAGAAGAATGACTTGATTATACCTGTGGGGCTCTGCTCCATTCATACAGCTGAGCCAGATCTCCCATCCTGCCCCCTTGCCAGGAGGTCTGGGGCTGCTCCATGAGCTATAGGGACAGATCAAACCCCCTTTGCTTGTATAACCATGTTGATATAAATACCTGTGTCCTCAACATTTACACATACACCAGTTTCCCCATGATAGAAGATTATATCATTTTATCCATCTCCACGCTAAGTCCTTATTTGTTGCAGCTCAGCTCCATTTTCCATTTACTTCTTGCATCTCTGAAACAGTCGAAATGCTACAGATTTCATCAATGTGCTCCTTTAAATAGAAAGATGTTAGGCCTCCCTGTCCTGCTGCCTTCTATGTCAGGCAGCCCGTGAGGCTCAGGTTCCCCACTGGCACCATATGGCTTTATGGAAGATGGTTCTTCTCTGCCTGAGATGATAGCTGGATATGGCCAGCAGTGATTAACGGAGAGATTCACGGTTGTGCCTAGGGTGCAGAGGTAATTAGAAACACTGATAATCGCAATGCAACAGTAAAGAACGTTTCCCAGATTTATTGTTTCCTTCCCTGTTGATCCTTCAATGAGATTTAATATAAATTTACTCAGGCTAGATCTATCCTGCACAGGAAATAGTAAGCAAAGTGGATGCAGGGATTTTCTTGGGAATTGAGAAGAGCCCAGCAGGGACATTGAGGTGCTCATTTGGCCAGCCTACCATGTCTTCTCTCGCTTGAGAACCCACCTGCAGGTGGAAGGTGACATGGGGCAGAGCAGCCTTCTTCTGAGGACAGCCTTGATGGAATTTGGAGAGCATCTCCCGGACTGCCCCAGAACCCTCTCTGGGGAAACGCAGTTATGAGTGGTGCTGCACTTTCTGAGCATGACCCACACAAGGTGCAGCAGATCTGACACACACAAATAGAGTTACTGTGATTTGAAGAATTTGAAGAATTAATGAGCTGGAAAACTCACAGGAATGATGACAGGCAAGCAAACTGGCAGTCCGTGGCACTGTGATAGACTAGCTTGCTTTTTAGCTTTGCCAAGGCCTTGATACTTGGCCTATAGCATACAGGAGTGCTGATAATAATTTGACTTCTGAAGTGCTCCCACATCAAAGTAATGAGTGCACTGTACCAAACACAAAATGCAATTAAACTAATGTATTGCGCTAGGGAGAATAAAGCTGAACTTCGGATTTGAGTTCCAATTTTTAAATAAGTGGGTGTGAAAATCCTTAAATTAATCATCTGCTGCATTTTCCACACAGAACTGGTACCACCAGTACAGTCACAGGAATTGTACCAGCAAGCAAACAGATGAAGAGAGAATTTTCAGGCCCAGTTTTTAGTGCTGTTAACAATTACAAATACACCTGAGCTGGAGATTCAAATCGGTGATTTGAAGGGGGAGCAGGATGTAAAATACAGGACAGAGAAGAAAGGTGGAGTGTGTGCCTGGAGGGGCCCTGGAAACAGCCAGAGGAGTGATATCTCCTAGTGCTTATATATCACAGAGAGGCCCATAACGCCAGCACCGTCTTGCAGGTGGGGAAACTGAGGCACGGAGTGGGAAAGTAGCTTTCTAGATGTCACCTGCTGACAGAGCCAGGATAAGTGGCTGGACTTTCCATTCCACTTCTTTGCTCTATCCCTTTGGCAAGTACGAGGGATTCATGATGCCCTGTAAACCCATCCCTGTTTCCTTTCTGAGAAGCCTGTATCTCCACACTCCTCTTCAGTGTTAGGTTACCAGAAGCAGCAGTGGAAATCTGCCAATGAATATCTTTATTGCTCCCATTATCTGGACTAATTTGGGCATCTCTGCATGGGGGGGTGTTGCAGCGTTTGAACATCCCTCCCCATGTGCACTGGCAATGCTTTCTTAGGAGGTAGGAGCTTTGTTCCTCCTTGTTTTACCTCGTTATTCCTTTTAATAATGGAAAACTACTGTGAATAGCTTTCCATAGCAGAATATGTTCCAACTGTTGTGTCCACATGGTCTCTTGTAAGCACAAAATGACATGGACAGTAGGATTTTTTCCTGCCGCTGCTCTTCTGGCAGTGAACTCTCAAATTATAAACACAAGGGTATTTTAAACAAAACAGGTTTATCCCGCAGTAGGATTATCCCTGAAATAGGACACCTTCACCAGCCTCACCCTCTATCCATCCCAAGGAGAGGGGGCTTGAGTGTAGCAATGGTCTAATATATAAAGTAGAGAGATGAAGGATGCCAGCATAATACCCAGTCATGCTGGGATTCCCTTCTACTTACAGCTAGAAACATTCCTGTATGACAGCAATATAAAAAAAAAAAAAAAAAAAAAAAATATCCCCCATGTAATGAAGAACTCTGCTAGGGAGCTGCAATGTTTAGGCACTAGGTTGGATTTTATTACCATGATGAAATTACACAAGCTTCACCTCTCTCTCTCTTTGCCTGCCGTGCAGCTTCTCACTCTCTCCCCTTCTTTTTGGCTGCCTCCGCACACTCCCTCCCTGCTCGCTCTGCAGCCGGGGTGGGAGAGGCAGGGATACAGGTAGGACAGGCAGCCCTGGGCTCCCTCCCAGCCCCGGGGTCCCTCGGCTGGGATCCCCTGGGCTGCATCATTGGCATGCGGCGCCCGGCAGGACTGCATCACTGCTAGAGGAGATGCCAGCGCAGAGCCGCGCTGCGCCGCACACCGCGCTGCGCTGCGCAGGCAGCAGCACCGCCGGCAGCTTGGGCTGCCCAAGGTAAGAGCGAGTCGCTCCCTCGGCTTTGCTGCAAAGGGGTGCGAGGCAGCTGCCGGCGAGCTGGCAGCCCGCGGGGTCTCGGTGCTGAGCGCTGGGTTGGCAGGGAGGCAGCTCAAGGGGCAGGGAAAAGCTCTCTGCAAAAAAAAAAAAAAAAAAAACTAATGCAAAAGATGCCTCTGAAAACGAAGATGCCCAAGGGCACGGAGTCGGTGTCTGAGTTGGGATGAACGGGTGGGAGCTGCCAAGGGCTCTGTTAGCCTGTTGAGATTGGAGGGGTCAGAGCAGTTGTGAGCGAAGCAGCAATTTAAGCTCGCCCCGTTACCCCGCCTCGCTGCCCTTGCTCTCTGCGGGGAGCGGGGGAGTTGCTGTGCTTCAGAGTTTTAACTCAGGCTGAAGCAGTTTTTAAAGCAGTGCTCCCAGTGTGTGTCCGGGTCGCGGTGGGCTGAAGTGGGGAGAAGGAGAAGGTGTTTGCGTGGGGGGGCAGGGGCCGTGGTATCCGTGTGGGAGCTGTGTGTGACTGTGTGGGTGGTGGCACCCCGGGGCTGGGTGTGGGTGTGCCGGTACCTGCACACACCAGCCCCCTTTACCCCGCCGGTTACCGCACTGCCAGCACCCATTTTAATTGTCCGCCCTTCCTTGTCCTCCTCAGCCTCCAGGAAAGCTTAAATGCAGCTAAAGCTAAAAGCTGCAATTAGTCACCTCTGTTAGGAAGGACTGAATGAAGCCACAGAGAGAAAGCGATGATTTTGGTAGTTGGTGGGGCTGGCTCTCTGGACAGTGGCTATTGCGGGACACAGGTTCTCTGGCGAGGAGTTCCAGTACATGTGTGCATGCCTATAGAACATCCTGTAACACATCCAGATGTACATCTCTGCAGGGACTATTTTTCATTTAGAGGACAAGTGCTGTTCAAGGGAAATTTTCATTACCTGTGTCAAACTGCAGTAATATGATCCATAGCACCAAGATCCCATTAAAAATAATGGGTAGGAACTGGCTCCACAAGGACATTACTTGTCAGGGATGATCTTGTCTCAGGAAAAAAGGGAAAAAGAGTAACAATCTGATGGTTATAATGTGTAGGTGAGGAGCAGGGTGGTGCTCCGTGCTGAGAGGAAATCTCGCTGTGTTTAGGTTGGGCATTTGTAAGGACATACTAGAGTTTAAAGGGATCTCCTGCCATGGGAAGTCATGGCAGAAATTTCAGGTAGGATGAGAGTAAGTCAAGTGCCTGACATGGCATGAAAATTGCTGTTTCATGACTCCTCTGGATCCCTAGTGTTATTGCTTGGGGGAAGAGAGAGGAAAAGAGTTAATCCTATGGCTTGCTTAGCCAGATATTGAATATACAATAATGCTTCACTGATCACCCCAGGCTGAAAGCACTGAGCCAGATGTCTGCTGCTCATTTGGAAATACGCTTTAGTGCCTCTGCCCTAACATGTGGCCCCAACACTTCATGCAGTGGGATGCCCACAGCCAGACTGCCCTGTCTGGACAGTCTGGAGGAGGGCGTGGGAGCAGAGGCAGCATCCAGGGCTGCTTCAGGTTCTTCCCAATAGAAAAGCCCTCTTCCACCCCACAGCAGAAAGAGGAGGGGAACATCTCCCTCCCCTGCAAGAGAGCTGCCACAGGCAGCAGTCACCTACATGGGGGCCCTGGGCCTCAAAAGCTCCATGAGGTCCTAGTTAACTGCTGATGGCTCCCCTCTTCAGGGCCTTGCTGTGAAAGGCATGTCCACCAGTATTAGATGAACTCAACTGGAGATCAGATATGCAGTGACAACCTTTGGTTTTCCTGACATGATTTTGCAGCAAATGTGTATTGCAAGTGTTGGGGGAACCCTCCTGGAGCATCAAAGACAGACTCAGAAAGCAGCTGACAGTAGTCAACCTTCCTGTTCAGCTTGTCCAGTTATGAGAAGCCTGCCCCATGAAGTAGCTATGCAATTTGTACCCATTTATGTTCTGGAACATCTCTGAATGAAAGTCACTGATACCTGACAACTATTGACTGAGGGAGATAGGTGGGAGAGCAGCTTTCGTGCCAGGTTTTGATGCAGTCCCCAACCCTGCAAGCTGGGTGCTCCCCAAAAGTCAGCCTTGCACATGCAGATGACCTCTGCAGATCTGGCTGATTGTCTGCAGGTAGGGTGTGGGCACCAAAATCTGAAAGCACGGTCAGAATGAACGTGAAGAATCCCATGAGGAGAGTAAGAGCACATGATCTGGTGTTTAGTACACGGGGTATATGAGTTTAGTTTCAAAACAGGAGTTGATCCAACCTGAACCTGAAGAGAAAATGCAGGATGCTGAAGATGCATCCTTTTCCTGATCATAATAACCTCTGAGCTAGGAGAATTGCTTTCGGTGAAATGAAGTAGCAGAGATGAAAAAGGCACGAATATCCCCCATGATCCATGGTGATGTTGTCCTACCTACACAGCACACTGCTGGACAAAACTTGGCAAGGCAGGTCTGGTTTTTGAGTCACAACCTACACTTGATGCAGCATGAGCCTGGCTCCCTTCTTTTCTGCACAGAGTGCCAGTCCCTGAGTCCTTCCTCCTCTGCTCAGGGCTGTTGTGGGTGGCCTTTTCCTGGCCTTGCCACAAAGTCCCAGGGCTGTTAGCAGTCCTGCTGGGGAAGCCAAAGCCAGCCTTGAAAATCCTCTTCCTGCATCATCAAGTCAGCAAATTGATTTTCCAGATCATGAGCTGAACCTCTGAAATTGTTCTCTTCTGAAAAGATTATGGAATTACTCTTGTGCTAATGAATGCTTTAATGTTACGGTGACTAAAAGTCCCATAAGGGCTTTAACAGCCGAAAAAAAAAAAAAAAAGACACTGTAGGAAAGGGGAGCCTGCGTCAGCTGTGTCAGGCCTTGCTTCACCTTCTGGGGCAGAGGGGAGGAGGAAGATGACTGAAGTTGAAAAACAAGAGAAGGGTGAGATCTGCCAAATCCATCCGAGATACTTTCCACAGCTCCCAACTTGATCCCTCTTTCTGCGAGGGCAAGCAGGGAAGGTAACATGTTGCCTATTCCTTTTCCTTTTCAGCAGCTCTCCAGAAAATACCCATCCCCTTCAGCAGTGGGGATAACCCCCACTCCCAGTGACCTACCGGGAGAGCCCCGAGGGCAGGCAGCAGAGACAGGTCACCATCCCCAGCTCCCCGGGGCAGGCTGCTGCAACCTGCCATGGGATTATCTGAGTTTAGCACTTACCCTTCTACCCTCCTGATGCAACGCTGCCAGGCTTTGTAGTTCAGGACCATGACACTGGTTTTCAAATAGACAGTAAGACAGTACATGCTGTGACCCCTCTAAAGGAGTTTGGCATTTATTATGGAGAAAATATGCTCCTGGGGATGAGTCTGCCATGATCCTGCTGGCTTTCACAGAGCTACAGTCTTGCCTCTGCTTTACTAACCCCTGTTTTATTGCATTGTAACTCCATGGGTTAAAACCGGGTTGTCCCAGATTTGAGCGAGAGCAGAGTTAACCCCCTAAAACTGGATGGAGAAACAGTGCAGGGAAAATGTCTCCATGACACACAGACTGCCATGCAAGGGGAAGGCTGGTCTATATTTAGGTAAGGACTCTGCACAGAATGGGTAATCCTCTTCCCATGAATTATCCAGCCTGGGGATTAGACTGCTTTAAACTCCCCCAGTCCTCCCTTGCTGCAGCCGGGCTCGGTGGGACCCAGGGTGGCAATGGCCGGAGGGAGAGAGGTGGGGGCAGGCTGCTGATGACTCATTTGGCTGCTGCCAGCCTTGCCAAGTGCTCCGAGAGGTCACCATGGGCCCAGACACAGAGTGACACACAAGTGACGTGCAAGGCAACAGGGAACATTATGGCATCCCGATTAGGAAAGAACACTGAGCTTTATAAATAATTGTGGAGACGAGGGAGTGCAGCAGCAGGTAGGAGGAAGGACAAGAGACCCAAAGCAGCAGTCTTCCAAAGTGTAATATCCTCGCTAGACTTTTTCAAGATATTTCTCTAACCAGAAAAAGGAATGCTTTTTGAACTGCAGCCAATACATCTGAGAAGATGCTACAAACCCACCTGCTTGGGCTGGCCCTGCAAATGCGATTCTGGGGATGCAACTCAAGTTCATCTGTTTGGAGTGTGAATGGATCACTGTCAATACTCCATTAAAATGTTGAAGGGAGGCCAATAACACAGCTCAGGGACAGTGGGGGTGTGGGGAGGGAATAGGATGTGAGGAGGGAGGCAGGCTGGATTGCACCAAAACCTGAATATTTCACTCACAGTTATGGGGCAAGTGCCCTGTGTGTAGAGAAGACAGATTTTTGTTCTTTATATAGTGCACAGCTGCTAGAAAAAAAAAAAAAAAAAAAAAAAAAGTCTTGTCACTTATATCACCCTGGGGATTTGTACATGCCATAGAGGAAACATTTTTATCGCCTCCACATGTGGGTTTTGGGACAAAGCTTTGGTGGGGGAAAGAGTGAGAAAGACTTGGCTGTGCTATACCAGGCTGACACCCAGCTCCGCAGGGATGCCAAAGCGGGTCTTCCCCCCAGTGCCACAGGCAGCAGAAAAGGGGGGGATCTTCTGAGGCAGAAACAAAGTTCTTGTCCAGCAGACTGAGACAGCTGACACCACTGATTTTCTCAATCTGGGTTTGTGGTGGTGTCACCCTTTTTTCTCCCCTAATCTCTAGAAACTGGGATACATCTCAAAACTAGTATGGTTTGTTTCCCTTCACCCTGCTTTCCAGGCTTTAACTAAGAAATCAGGGCAGGCTTTTGATTTCCCCAATTCTCTTTGCATTTTACTGTTGCCTGGACATCTTTTCACCTTGTCCTGGAGTTACATTCCCCTGGTTTCTAACCCTGTGAGCCCTCACAGTACAGCCATCATCCCCCAGACTCACCCTGGCCACCCTTGTCTGAACTGCTGAAAAGTCAGGGTTATTCATGGGGAAGTTAAGTGCGCCAAGGCACTTTATATTTCCTGCATTTAAATCAATTTATTCTACTCTCTGATGCTTAACCTACATAACCTAAATCAGGATTTCGATCCTATTGTATTTTCCTCTGCCCAGAACTGGGACAAATTGAAAGCCTCGTCCTGCTGTTCAGCTTTCCCTCTTTTACTCCTGTCATCTAGAGGATGCCATTTAAATAACTTCAGGGGAGTTAGAGTTGAAGAGGGAATAAATGACTAGTCTCCCAACTCACTGCTAGGACTGGAAATATCTTGTCTGGCACTGCAGCTCCTGCATTGCCCGGACATGCAGGCAGAGTCAGTGTGAACCTTGGCTTGTTTCTGCATGTGAGGTTAGAGCTAGAAATCACCAGGGGAAGCCTGGATGGAAGAGGGAAAGCAAAGGAGGGAAAGACCAGGGAAAGTCTTTGCCTTTAACGTGAGCCAGTGTCTTTCCTCCCTGTGTTGAACATCCTCAATTTCCTGTTTAACTTAGAGTCAACACATCTGTCACGTTAGCATCTCCCGCTGCCTGGTTCCCCCAAGCCACCCCCCTCCCATCTGCTCTCCCTCCTGCCTCCAGCCTCCCTCAGCTCCTATTGCTTTGTGGCTGGGGGGGTGCGGGAGGCGGGGGGGGTGTGTGTGCGTGCGCCTGTGTTTTCTACTGGCTGATGGACTTTTCCATTGCCTGTGCTTCAGTACCTGGATGCAGTCGCAGCGGGATGATCGGCTTGGCTTGCAGAGCATTTACTTCTAATCTCCGGCTCGTGACATCCTAGCAGAAAGGGGCAACCCTTTCAGGAGCAGCTCCACGGGCAAGAAAGAGGGGAAATGGCTGATGAACGGCTGTGATGAAATATTTCCTAGTTCTGGTAAGCGATGCTTTTCTCTTTGGTCCCTTTCTGGACAATCAGTCCGGATGCAAAAGTAATAAGGCTTAAAGGGGTAAAAAGCACAGGGAGGAGAGCTGAAAAAGAGGGAAAAAAACAATGAAGGCCATTCGGTTTCTACAGAAGCTTTTCCAGGGGTCAGTGTTCATCAAAGCAATTTAATTATTATTAGCAAGAGGCTGGGAGCTGAGGAGATCAGTTAATGTGTGTGCCTAGGCAGTTGGAGTAGCTTTCACTTGAATGCTGTTTCATCGCCCACTCTATATCTTTTTTCCTACATGATTTCCAGCTTGGTCTGGGGCACATTCAGAGCTCACAGCCAGGCACCAGCCGTGCTCTCCATAGGGCAGTCCTAATCGAGCTGCTACCCGAATGCTGCCTTTTCTGCCTTATGCTCTTTACTGCAGGAGTTTTGGAAGGTCATTCATGAATCCTTGCCCTTAAGTTGATGCATAAAGCCCCTCAACTTTTCTAACTGATAAACTATCTCCATTGTGAAGTCTAACTGCATTTCTCCCTGAAACCAGTCCCCTAGGTGCTGCAAATAGCTGATATATAGAGAGGTGCACATAAAGGTATTTGGAAGGAAGAGGGTCTAGTTGGATTACACACTGCTAGGATTGTGAGCTATCTGATGTCCTCGACATTGGCTTACTCTAAATGAGAGGTCTGTGAGTCAGTTTATCTCAAAGGACTTTTAAAATGGGCGTCCTGCTTCTAAGTTGAGTGACAGCAGAGCTCTTACACTAGGAGTGAATTTAGGGCCCTTGTTTAAAGAGGATCAAGGAATAATAAATCTTAGAGCAGCCTTTGCAATCTGGCTGTATTGAATCTGCAAAGGTCTGTACATAATATATCTCTGTTGACAAAAAAAAAAAAAAAAAGGAAAAATACAGTGGTGAAGCTCTGGCAATTTTGCTGACAGGTAGAAAGCTATGACCTTCTTGACAGACCTGTGTTCCACCCAAAAACTGGTGCAAAATTTGGTTTGGAAATACCAAAACAAATTCTTTATATATTTATTTATGACAGGCAGAGTTAAAAACTACTCCTGGAGAACACTGCGGAGATGATTTTTTTTATAAAAATATCTCTCTCATGATGTATTCATACAGAAACCTCCACTTGCTAAAAGCTCACACATTTCCTACTCTTTCATGTTAGATACCATGACACTTAGAGTGTGGCACTCTGGTTATTGTGCTTATTCTACAGCAACCTTGAAGTTTCAAGCACCAGTTATGTTAAACATAAAGAAAAAGATCCTCCTCTCCTCAGCAGCAAGTTCTGGGTTGGAATTTTGTGTCACATATGTTTCAGGATGACAACCTTTTGTACTAAATCTGTGTCAGGTGAGTGGAAGGGGCTTTGCATGACTCTGAATCCAGCACTGTGAAAGAAGGAGAAAGTACAGGAATTGCCACATTTGTTGTCTTTGGGGGATTGATTATTATATCTGTGGGTTAATCTTCTTAGAGATGACAGGTTTTGCTTCCTCTAACTGAAACACCATAGTTTGTTTCAAAAGGTTGAAAATCCTTCATTCTGTGTTTCCTGGAAGAACACTTCTGAGCACCAGAAATTTCTATAAATTTATTTTCTTGTTGTATTATCTTCTAAAACCTGCAGAAATATTGTCAGAGTATCTTTGATGTCCATTTTTTGTTTGTGTCCACTTGACTTTTCTCCCACAGTCAAAGATGTTTGCCAGTAGTGACTGTGCTTTCCTGGTCCTTGTTGCAGTACTTCCTGGAAGGGTTAATTTCCCTTGTTTAATTAATGACTCTGTAATATTTATAAAGAGAAATTCCTCATATCCATCTGTGGTAATTTTGGTACATCTGCCAAGATGAAATTCTAGGGCCAAATGAATATTACAATATGCTAGATGTACAGATTTTTATAGCATCCCAAAGATATTTCCTGAGACATGCTGATTTGATGTTGGGGAAGTGAAGGACAGATCCTGAAGTATTTGTCTGTGAGTGGAAACAGAATTCAATGTGCTACAGAATTAATGAATGTTATGATATCTAATTGAATTTTAGTCTTTTCTCGTGGGCATTTGTGATAAAAAGGATGGATTTCCCATGTGAATAAATCCATTTGGTAAGGTCAGGGAGTCATATGAGATCCTAAACAAAGAATAGTCCAGATCATTCCTGTGAAGACACTTGGCATCCATGTCATTATCTCTTCAAGCCAAGGTAATCAAGGAGATGGAAGATTAAGCTTTTTCTTGCCAGGGAAACTTCCACATTATTTGGTTGAAATTGGAATCCAGTCACCTCATGCTTGTCTCTCCAGATTTTTCTTACCACATCTGCTAAATTACCAGCAGCTATTTGCGTTTTAAATGAGGGCTTCCTCCCGCACAACCCATCTGCTCAGCCTGTTTGTTCTTCCCGTGCAGTCACGACTTTGTGATCACGTTTATGTCAGTAGAAACACACTGGTGTTGGGGGCAGAAGGAAGAGGGGAACAAGGTGGACTTGCAGATTCCCTTGGATGGATTGAATTCAAAAGACGAGTTGGGTTAAAAGAGAGGGTAGAACCTCTCTTGAAAGAGAATTAAGACAGGACAAGGGAGCCAGGAAGTTCAGGCCACTTTGAGGACAAATCTTGTCTTTTTCTAGAACTATCCTAGGGAATCTTTACAATTAGACATCCTAGACTTTTCCATGTGTAAAGTGACATAACTCACCTGGGCATGTTCTTGACTGCCTTAATGCCAGGGAGGAAGAAGAAATTAAGAATTTTCTTTCTTGGAGGTGGATGAAATGTGAGAGTACTTTACGGTATTTTAATCTGCCTCATTTAAGTGGAGAGACTAAGGTTTTCAGAGATGTTTTCTGCTCACCTTGGTGTGACAAACCCGAGGATATGATTATAGATATAGAGGAATGTGATAGAGATCTACAAAGTTGTGAGTGACATGGAGAGAGTGAGTAGGGCTGTAAAATATCTCGTCAAGTCCAAGACCCAGGCAACATCAGAACTAGCTAATAAAAGCCAGATACATATCCAAGATGCCTCTACCTGACTCTTCAAATGTGAGGCAGTCCTGGCCCAGCCCATAATCTAAATTACCATCTCCAAATAATAAGCACTGCTATGACCAGCATGGCTTCCAGACCAGAACTGCCCTACGTCCAGCCAGCTTGAATCTATCTGTACCCTTATGTAGATAAGGTATGGATACTGACAGTGCTGTGTAAGATGCTCCAGAAAGAAAAGCTGGATGTGCTGAGATGTACTCAGCTGTGTTTTCTTCTCCCATCTCTTAAGGGAGGACATCAGCAGGATAGCTACCATACACACAGCCATGAGGGTCCCAGAGACTGTGTGCAAGAGGTTTGGGGTGTCATGACCTGGCTTAGATCAGTTTATATGGCAGTCACTCATGCCTGGTATGCATTTTCTATAATGAGGAGCATCTATAATGAAGGGGATTGCCCACCCATGGCTGAAAGCAGTCATCTCTTAGGAGGAGCAGAGTAGCCCAGAGGGCAGAATATGTTATATTGAACAGTGTAGATGCTGGGAAAGAATGGAAAGCGGTATATGAGCCCCAAAGCAGTACTCTTTACTGAAGAAATTGCTCTTAACGGCCCATGTATAGACACAGCCATGTGAGAGATGCCCTTTCCCTTGTCCCGCTTCGCAGTCGCTGTTGCCCTGCCTAGGAGAGAGACCCAGTGCTTCTGCAAGAGGACTGCGGCAGGCCTGATGCTGGGCAGGAGATGCTGCAGGACTGTGCGACAGCTGGCTCTTGATGATTCAGTGTTTCTAGTTAAACTCAATGTTTTGCTGTGATTCACAGCAGCTCTCGTGGGAGATGGGTTTGCAGGAAACTGGAACTCATCCACTCCTGACTGGGTGATGGATGGCTTTGTTCAAGCTCTGGTTCCCACCATGCTGCCAGCACAGCGGCTCTCTCCCTGGCCTCCCATCCTCCTCAGCTGACAGCGAGTGAGAAGAGTCATGTCCTCAGAACAGGGCAGCCCTGGTATTTCTACCCAGCAGGTCCCTGGACACCATTGCAACATGGAGAGTTTCCCAGTCCTGGCATGAAGATGATCCCTGTGGGGTGTTTTGTAAAATGTGAGAGGGTGAGTAAAATCCCTGCAGGAGATTTTTGACCATGGGGAAAGTGCTATGAGAGCCAAGTGATATGTGTGTTTTACACCCCTCCTACTCTCAAGGACTCAGTACTGCAGTGGTGAGTGGAAGGCTGGTCCTCTGTCAAGACACGAGTGGTCACGGCCAGGTCTTGGTGACTGCTCCCACCACATCCCTCCAGGCAAAGGTGGTGGTGGTGGCTTCTTTGAGGAACCTCATTTATGTAGCAGTCCTACAATTAGTGATGGTCCTCAAACAAGCCTGGTGACATCTAGTTTTGCAGCTAGCATCTTCCTCTGAGGCACATTCCCAGGGGGATTAGCAAAGCCAGAATATGAGTTTAGAGGCAGACTGAATTGGATGCCTCCCTGAGGATGACTGAGGGATTGATGTGTCTTGGGGGACAGAATGGAAGCACACAAAAATACTTCTCTGGATATACTTGGCACAGAGGATCTATTGCACAGGACACTTATACAGATGGATAAAATCTCTTTTAGATTTACAAGCTATCCTGGGTAGGTGGATCTTGATTTTAGTCTCAGGGCTGTAAACAAGTAAAATTGCTCTGGACTCATACCAGAATCAGAGATACCTAGGCTAGTATGAGGGATATGGCACTTCATAACATAATAAACACTAAAAGTGATTATTCTGTTCTCTGTACACGGGGACCAGGGCTCTTTCTGCCCTGATATATGGGAGGGAGGAGAAGAGGGGGTGATTTGGGATCATGGCTGCTTGGAGCCACAAGAGGTGTGGGTTTTTACAAAGCCCAGTAACAACCAGGAACTGGTTCTCCAATGCTTTCAGCCTACTGCAAAGGAGGAAATCTAATCCGAATTCCTCTCACCTACTTC